GGGGTTAATGTGCCTATCTTTTGGGACTCATAACACGCCCATTATTCATCTCAATAACAAGAATATTCTCTTATTAATAGGATATGTTTCTCTCTCTTATTACTTTCTCATCTCTTCCATTATTAGTATCTAGGTAAAACCTCTATTCTTGATATTAATATTTTTGGTTCTTTTCTATTCTTGCTTCTTTTTTTTAAATCACCTCTAATTCAAAAACAAAAATTGTTTTTGTTATTAACTTTTACTATGAAAATTTCATGAATTCTACTCCTAGAAAGAGCATTAGGTCAAGGCTTGACGCAATATCAACAATCCCATCTTATGTTCTAAATTATGTTTTGAGTTGAATGCATTCACTCTATTTTCCATGAATATGAAAGAGTAATTCATGCCACAAATAGTGAAATTTCTTTCTCTGTTACAACTAATTCGCCAAAAGAAAAAAGTAAGGAGAAAGATGTTAGTGCAAATTCTCTCATTATTACCTTCAAATCGGCAAAGGTAAGGAGAAAAAGTTACAACTGTTAATTCGAAAAAGATCTGGATGATCATAGTGAATATGATTTGTATCATGTAATCCATAAATATCGAAATAATTTTTAAACACAATTTGTTTTAGTGCATACACGTTAGTGACCAATTTGGTACAATTGTTGATGATATGTTTTTTTAAAATAGTAATATGTATTAATCTTTAGTGACTGATCTAGTACAATAATTGGTGATTTGTTGATTTTTAACTGTTATATATTTTAATGTCTATAGTTTGATAGATGATATAGTTAAAATATTGATAATATGTTGATTTAAATTTGATGGATGGTTGGCTAATATTTTGGTGATATGTTGGTTTAGAACTATAATAGAAATTGATTTATAATTGATGATAAGTTTGATTTTAGTTATATGTTTCAACCCTACAATGCGTAACACCATAATCTAATCAAGTATATACCAATTTTTTAGTATCATCAAGTTAATTTATATGGTGTACAATGTGGTGTAACCTTTGTGTCAAGTTCAAATTTAATAACTACAACAATTACAAATAATTGGTGGATTTGTTGGTTAAAAATAAATGGCGATTTGTTGATTTAAAGTTGCAATATGTATAGTGTTATATATGAGTAGTAAATTGCATAGATGGTTTTTTTTTCCCAGTAAGTTATTAAAATGTAATACAAATTGAGCGGGTTGAGTTATGACCCTTACTGTAGCCCATTTCAACCCAAATAAATTTTGAACAAAACGATAACTTGCATATTTATTAGTATAAAATACTTAGCGTCCCGCCATTCTTTCTTGTTAGCACTGGAAATCTAACACATTCTACGGTAGAACTCTTATAAAGTGAAAAGTCGTTCTTTAGTTAAAGCAGAAGAACAGAAACTGAGGGAAAAAATCTATGTAAACTCCAACAATTTGGGTGCTAGTTACATCTTATCTCGAAATTTTTTCAAATTACAATAATTTCGAATTTTTTAGAACTCGTGAATATATTGCTCCTTCCCCCAATATATAACAAACGACTCATAATTTTTGTATCAGATATATAAATTATGTATCACATACATTACTATAAACCAGACTCATACTGATTTAGATATGAAATAATTGAGATTATGTATAACGATAACATTTATAATTATCTAATTTTCTCTATTTATGAACTCAGCCTAACTTAACACATCAAAATTGAGTTTAACCCGGTCCATTTGATACACTAGTGGTGCATAAGGCTGCGCAACGGACCGGAACGGAACCATCGGAACGAACCGATATCGGAACGGGACGGTTTGACCGGTTTGTTGATCGGTACCGGGATGAATCGGATCGGAATTATCGGGACGGATACTCGGTTTCGTCCCGTCCTACTATATACCGGGATGGAATCGGAATGGATCGGAATGGAACGGGATGGGATAAACGGGACAACACATCTAGATATTTCAAAAAATGATAAAAAAATTTTTTAGTTTTTTTTACTTTTTGATTACGAAAATATGAATGTTTTTTTTATTTTTCTAAGTTTGAACTTTAAATTAATAGTTTTGAAATTTATAAATTATAATGTAATTTTACTTAAGTTTATTTTAAAGATATTTTTAAAATTTTTTTACCTATTAAGTCTACAAGTTAAGTTTAATAAAGTTTTTTTAAAAGTTTTTTAGCTTAGTTTTCAAATTTCAAGATTTGAATCTTTTGAAGTTTATAAGTTATTACTTATTAATATGTTATAACTTATAAGTTATATATATAATTTGTAATTTAAATAACTTAAGTTTGTAATTTAAAAAAATAAATAAAAATAAGAATAAAACAATGACACAATCACACAAATTTTAAGAAAATAAAAAAAACTTTTGAATCTTGTAGATTTAATTAAAGATATATATAGAATATATCAAAACACATTTTAATCTTATAGTCTGAAACATGTTATATGAATTGTTTTTATAAATTTATTTAAAGATATATAAAATATATCAAAATACATTTTAATATTAAAATCTTAAATATGTTACACACAAATTTTTGCTAAAAACAAGAACATTAAAGGAAAGAAAAACAAGCCATTTTAAAACGTAGAAAGTACTACTTAATAAATATATTGTTTCATGTTTCTCACTCAATGCGTTCGATATGTGTTTTGAAATATCAATTAATTTGAATTTACATTGCACAAACTCATTAAAAGTAAGGGCGGATCAATATCATTGATGATCTAAAGCCAAATTGCAATTTATTTTATTTTTTTCAAAGAAAAATT